GATTTGGGCTTCGTCTCGATTCTTGGCTTGTATCGTTTCCTCAGACGGCACCAAATGTTGATGCTGGAATTCTGGTAGACCGGTTCTCTCCGCTCCACGCACCAACTTGAATATTTCGGGACCAAATACCTACAAAACGGAATAAGAAACCCTAACCCAGTGTAACTTTAGTCACATTAGCTCCGATGCCTAAGTTAGCAAAAGGAGAGATCACTTAACCAAGTGAGAGACTTGAAAGTATAGTTTTGGCTTACCTTCAGGGGGTGACCCTTTTCCCTATTTATAGTCGAGTTGTCCCCTAAGGTTTCTCAGGATGTCAACCCTAGGTTGGATATTCGTGGGCTTTGGGCCAGGATACTTGCAGCGTCGATAGAGGAAAGGGTACAGGAGCTTGACTTTGGGGCCAGAACATCATACGCTTGAAACAAGGACTGGGAGGGAAGAAGAGAGCGCCGAGGGCCAAAGGGGTCGGCGTCGAAGTGGGGTCGTCCTCTTGGTGGGTCGGCCTCCGTGCCCTGTGCCGGCTCTGCTTGTCAATGGACCCGATTCCCCTTCTTGATGTCTTGGTCCGACTCTGTTTGTTGATGATCCTGGTTGTCCTTTCTGATGTAGCCCAATCTTCTACCATATTGCTCTCTACATAACATTCTACAATACAAAATTGGAATAATCAAGAAGTATAGAAACTAGGTTGTTGATATGAAAACGTGGAACCATAATACACATGTTTATAGGCCTTATACATCAACATATAACAAAAGTCTTAACCACGTAACTTCATATTCATAACAGAATTAAAACAAACGCACTAAAACTAACATTATAATCTTATGAGTTTTTAAGATACACATACAAAAATCTATGTTTGTCGATGTATAAGGCACTTCTCAAGACTATTGATTTTCCTGGTTTCCAGGTGTTAATTCCACGTCTCACTTTCAAGTTGTTGGCTAAAACGTTCATCACCTATTTCTAACACCTCGATGGGTAAAATTATACAAAAACTTACCTAGAAAATGATTTCGTGTTGAGATATTCATAAATGAATTAAATTTACCCAATCGATCAACTTAAGCTTTTGGGTTGAGTGGTGGTTTATTCAACCATAACATGGTATCAGAGCGAGAGATCCTGTAATTGAACCTAAATATGTAGATTCAAAAAGCAAGATTAGTAATGGATTCTTTTATCGTAGTTATTAAACCTTATACCGTCCAGATTCTTCCTACCATGGTTAAAACATGCTTCTCAAAGGTTACCTAAAATAAACGATTTAATATATAGCTCAACCACAAGGTTAATATTGGACCATAATCATCTCAATCATGTTAACAAACTTCATCAGGCTTTGTATGGTCTTAAGCAAGCACCGTGCGCTTGGTAGGACAAACTTAAGGAAACTCTTCTCATGTGCGGTTTTGTAAATACCAAGTCAAATGCCTCATGATGTTTTCTTCGAGGTGCCCAATTCTTCATTTTTTGTTCTTATATATGTTGATGACCTTATAGGGACTAGCAGCTACACTAAGACACTTACTTTATTGTTTGGCATTTGAATATTTTGTTTAATCTTAAAAACCTTCGGTGATCTTTTAGTTTTGAATGAACCGATACGACATCCGAATAAGAGGGATCTTGAGATCTTGGAAGCATGGTTAAGAAAGACTTAAATTAATTTAAGTTACTACCTATACTAACTAAGGTGCACCTTCTTTTTCGGTAGCTCGCTAATAAGAATTCTAAAGTTAAGCGTGTTTGACATAGAGCAATCTTGCATTAGGTGACCTAGCTCCTAATTGGTTTACTATGGGCCTGGGGCATTACAGAAGTTCGAGTTATTCAACTACTTGTCATAGGTCTTTGCTCGGTGTAGTATAACTCTAAGTTATTCTAGTACGGTACTGCTGGCCTAATTCTCTTAAATTTGCTTTAGAAGAAGGAGATTTGTTTTTAGAGCTCAATATGTTATTATCTCCACCACCAGCTTCATTATTGCCATAGACCACCACCACCATCCATTATTGAATTCTCAACTTTAGCGCTCAAGTTTTCTAATAGCCTTACGAACGATAAAATAAGGAATATTCTATGTGCAATTTCAGTTTTCCTTTTTTTTTTGTCCTTTTAATTACTATATAATTTTGCCAATTTGGAAGGCCTGAGTTCTAATCCTTTTGTTTTTTTATTTTACGTTTTAGTTGTTTTAAAATCAATACATATTTGACAAATCAAGCATTGTTCAGCGGTCATTCAAAGGTATAATAAGCAAGATTTCAAACTTTTGGTTAAAAGTTCAGCTTTTTCACTAAAAAATTATTTTTCGTGTATGTTTCAATTTTTATGTCAAAACAAAGTTTTAAGAACTAAAAAGAGTAAATTTTCAAAAAATAATAATAAAAATAGCCAATAAATAAAAAATGATAGTAATAAGCAACTTTAATTTTTTAGGTTAAGAAAGGAAAATATCATCAAATAGGTATATATGTATAATATTATATATTTTCATCTTTTGTAATATTGTTGTTACAATAATGAATACTTCTGTTTAACCCTCGAATCTCGAAAACACATCATTGCATCAACTTAATTACAAGGGAGAGTATCCAAAGGAAGATGTCCGAGTAAAAGGTCGGATAATAACCGAGCTGAACATTCAGTCAAGTTGGACATCTAGCTGAATGGTTTATTCCACTATTTACGTCATGACAGTCTAACTGCTCCCCCACTCAATATGCAGATTCCATATTTTTACCGAGTGGGAACCGTCTAATTCAAATGAGGAGCCAAACTCCTCAACGGTTATTTCCTCTCTCCATCTATAAATACCGCAAGACGAATGGAGATGGGTATGCAAAAAAACTAATTTGATACACTTTTCCATTATCTTATTCAGCACAGAGACTAATTTGATCGTCGGAGTGCTAACTGGTTTTTGCATGTTCTAATCCAAGAGTGTTCCCGAAGATCTATTGTGATTATCGATTTTTCGGTAAGAACAACTTCTATGATTGAAAACCTATACTCCTGTATCAAATAGTAAAGAAAAATAAAACATGTAGATAAATGTGATGAAAAAATGCATTATTATTATTATTTTGTAAAGGATGAAATTGAATTATTGAATGATATTTAATGGTGGACATATTCATCATAAAGATATGACTGTTTATTTGGAACCATGGATCACATCAAAGATGCTCATCTTTTCTTTTTGCTTATGTTCTTTTTTTCCTTTTTCCTTTTTTGTTTTTCTTTTATTTTGTTTTTTTGTTCTTGTTCTTGTTTTTATTTTTATTTTTATTTATTTTGTGTGATCTTACAAATATCCAGCAATATTTCAATTCCAACTAATTTCCCATTAGTGACAGTACTACTGTTAGCCTGTGGCAAAAAATCAAGGAGGTTGGCGAGTCTCTGTCTTCAGAATTTAGTATCGTGAGTCAAATACTTTTTCCTTAAAACAATAAAAAATTGAAATGTTTTTGAGAATTTTCTCTCTCTGAAAATAACTTCAGAGGAGACCATGTGAATGGCAAGGGGTTGGAATGTAATTTCACTCGATAAAATGTTTTGATCAATCAAAAAATAAAACTATAGATACAATTTCCTAAATGAATGCTACATAACTTCTTTCAACTACAAAACGTTTTATTCAATTGTAAATCAGAGCATAGTGCGGGTTAAAGGTACCTATATCTAGCTAAAAGATCCTGAATTCGAATTTCCATTTTATTGTACTAAAAAAGAAAAAAAAACTTGATTCTATTAAGTTATGTAATTATTATCTTTAGTCAACATTCGAATTAATAATCAATTAACGTAGAAAACCTCACCAATTAAGACCTTACCCAAAGGTTACTTTTTTGGTTTAAAAGTACTTTTGGTACTTGGATTTTATTAATTTTATATTTTGATTTTGATCCTTCATATTGACTCACTTTTTATCTTCGACTTTTTAACATTTTAAATGTCAATTTTTCTCGTATATAGTCTATACATAAAAATGTGTCAAAATTTATTAAAAATGTTGTTGGAGGGTAAAAATAGGCGTGCAGCATGGAGAGCTAGGAAATATCAATATGTTAAAATCTTTTTCCGGAACCTCAAAGACAAGATATGGCCGACCTTGAAACTCGACCAAAACATCTTGGCCTGCAAAGTTCCATCAAACTTCATTTGGACGAAGGTAATGTCATACTCCGAACTTAGGATCCGACAGATCGGTTTTGTGCAACTGATTTCCCAACGGCATAAATGAACGATCAGACGTCGTTATCACCTCACTCCCTATAAATAGAACCATTCATAACTTATCTCAAGTATGTAATTCAACCTCGGCTTAAGACCATAGATCAGTCCCTTATTGACTTGAATGTCAGAGTGTTTACTTTCTTTATGCAAATTTTCCTCACCAAACTCACTCCAAAGTTCGGTCCTACCAAATCTTAGCACTCCTTAAGCTAGGTTGGAAGTCGCCCTAAACAAATGTAATGCAACCCGCTCTTGATATATATGTCTAACCTATATTATTACTTTTACACTAAAGACTAAATTAGAAAATAATCAAAATTGGCTTACTAAAATTAAGATTTTGAAGGTTAAGAGATAGAAAAATAAATATATAAAGTAGATGAAAACTTAAAAAATATGAAATAGATAAAACTCCAATCATCAAACTCATATTTAAAAACACACGGATTTTAGCCTTACCCCAAATGGCTAGAGGATCTTTCCAATCTTCTCGACCTTGAGGTTATTAAAATTTAATTCAGGTTTTAAAAAGAGTCACAACTTCTTATTGATTCTAAATATAACATTTCTCAGTATGTCTTAATATTACATTGATCTTTTAAGTTTGACTTGGATTATTTTATTTTTATAGAATTTCAAACTTTGAATTATATTCCAAAAACCCGTTTACTATTTGTCTAAATACCTAAAAAAAAAACGCAAATATATATATATATATATATAGTTCAACGATTATCGGAGATCCAACCTTTAATTTTAAGATCAAGATAACTACCATTTTATTCATCGAAAATACTCGATCCGATCCTTAAAATAGATAAATACATATACAATACAAAGTAAGTGAGACATCTCAACTTTATTTCACAACCCTGGTAAGTACCAACACTTCAAACCCAAACGCAACCATTATTCAAGAAAACAAAGCCAAAACAACACACAAAAAACACACACAGAAGAAATTGAAAAGTTCATAATTTTTCAAAAGAGATGGTGGCGATGGTCCTTCCCATGAGCTTCCTTCTCTTCTCTTTTGGCTTCCTTCTTCTCGTGATGTTCATGGAACGTAAATCCGCCCGCACCGACTGCCACCGCCGCTGCGACCTCCTCCCTCACCTTATGCCCATGGCTGTTCTCTCCATCTTTCTTGGCCTCGTGCTTCTCATGCTGAGAGAACAAAAAAAGAGGTTAAAATTTTCATTTACATGCTGGGACAGAAGTAAGAAGGAGGATCCTTTTGTTACCAAAGCGTAGGCACCCGCCGCGGCGACCCCAAGCTCGCCGAGGTGTTCGAGGTGCTTGTGGTGCTTCTTTTCCTTCTCGTAGTCAACGACTTCGGAGAACTCTTCTCCCTCCTTGTGGTGGTGAAGGTGGTGGCGATGGTGGTGGTGGTTTTCTTCCTCTGCCATGACTCCGATGCTATGGTAGAGAGAAACGTGTCGTTTTGGGGGTGGGTGATTTTTTTCGTGTGGAGGGATATGGATTTTATAGCAATTTTTTAGAGGTAATTGTGGAAATATTGTATTAATTAAACATCTTCTAAAGTATAGAAACATAGACTAATTAAGAAATTTAGGAGAAGATAATTTCTTAATTGTTATGGAATGAAGTTTTGCTATGGTTAGGTTTGTGGAGCCCATGGTGTATAATATTTTATTTTGAAATTATTAGTAAAGCAGAAAGATTTACATGAAAGGTATGTTACACACGATTGTTAGAAAGAGATATATTCACGCTTCATCAAATTTCCTATATAGCCTCAAAACCATATCTAATTATTATTATCAGTATCATTTATAAATTGGACCATTTCCAAGTTAATATAATTAATTTACAAATGAACCATTATTTTATTCTAAAGCAGATAATGAAATCAGAAATAAATAAATAAATAAGAAAGACAATAATATTTTTTCAAAATATATTTTCGATGCGATGATATGTGGAGATTCGAACTCACCACTTTTTTTTATATGTTGTAATATATTTAACAATAAAATCTTAAAATTTAGTTGTAGACTGATATCTCAAGCCAGATTATGTCCATCGAGGCACCACCTACCCTAGTTGTCTGGGGAACCATGTGTTGTTCAGATTTTAATATTTACTATTATTTATTATAGAAATTTTAACTTTTAAATAAGATAATTATTTTGAGAAGTTTCTCTTATAATATATCAAGTTAAGAGAAAACATGATTGAGGAGATGTTAAATTATTATTTAATTTATTTTTGTACTGAGTTTGTTGATTTAAAGTACTACCTCTAACTATATTCTCACAATGCAACTTATACGACATGGTTTTTATTTCTTTACTCTTTATGTTCTTTCTTTTGATCTTTTAAGAATAAGGGATTAGTACATAGATAGTCTATTTAGAAATCATAATTACGTAAAAAGATAGAAAAATATAGAATTTACACTTTTGTCATCAAACAATCGCTAATTAGATGGTACCCATAACACAAATTACTAATATATCCTTAGGATCCATCTCAATATTAAATAATTATTAAAATTTAGAATTAGTAAATTGAGAGGTCAAATATCTTAAAATGTGCTAATCATACTTTCCAAAATTAAAAAATCTCAAAATCCCAAAAACTCATCCATTTTCGAAACACACCCCTTTCTTCTTCCTCGTTTTTCTTTTCTTCCTCCGACCATCGGTTTTCCTTCCTCCATTCATCTTCTCCGACCGTCTGCCTTCCTCTCCGGCCGACCCCGCTTTTCTTTGTCGCAAGAGCATTTCATCTCCGGCCGCCTTTGAAAAGAGATTTACGTCGGTTCTTATTCTCTGGGCGTTTCTGCCTGCCTTCGTCTCCGGCCGACGTTTGCCTGCCTTCATCTCCGACCGCCTCTATTTTTCTCAGTCGCTAGAGTAGTTCCTCTCCACATTGAAAGGTTTGCATTCCAACGGATGTTTTCAATTTCTGATTTGGTGTGAAATATTGTATATGTGAGAATATATAGTATAATGATTTGATTAGGATATATCGTATAACTCAACTTGTATATATGCAGATATGCGGATATATACTATAGTAATTTTGAATGTATATGTGCGGATATATAGGTGAATATATCTTATAACTCAACTTGCATATATGTGGATATGTGGATATATACTATAGTGATTTTGAATCTATATAAGTGGATATATACTGTGATTTTTAATATATTTTTTGAATATGCGGATATATGTTTATTGAGACTTCAAAATATGTTTATGTGATTTTGAATTATCTTTGAAGATTGAGCACCAATGTGGGAGTGAATTAAGAGAAAATCAATCTTATTGAATGAGTAAATTAAAGTTTTGAAGTAGTGAATTAAGCGATTTGGGTTGAAAATTAGTATGGGGCCCAGAATAATTAATGAATTGTGATAATAATTTATGCAATTAAATCTTTTATATTTCAAGGAAAACAAATAACTATAATAAATGTAAAGGCACTAAATAAGGGTAAAATCAAAATTAAAATAAAATCCTACATGCAGAAATCTAAAAGTGTAAAATTAGAAAAATTTAGACATTTATGTAAATGAGTTTCTAAAACAGCCCCGCGAAGACATTATCTCTAAGAATAATTGGTTAAGAAAAGGGGTGTACTTTGTTGTTGAGTTTTGAGCTCAACCTGGCTAAGTGTAGCGATTTAGTTGGGTTATTGCATCCTTGAGAGGATAGGTCAGAGAAGAGACCTGCTTGACTAGTGATTGATAAAGAAAAACACACGCAAATGACTTGAATCTTCTTAAAGAAGTGAGACACATGTACATCAACCTAATTAGGTGTTTATTTTTCAATATTTATTCCAATTACGTCTCTTATTTGTAATTCTCCCAACAGTTTTTAATGAGACATTGCTTATTTATAGAGTCTACTCGTGAAAGATCTAAATGAGATTATATTTTAAGTTGTCTTGTTAGATAATTTTTATGATTAGTATAATACTACTTTCACATCTGCCATGACAATATGGAAAGCCATTGTAGAGTAAATATGATACTGAAGAGGTAGGGGTTGTTGGAGGGCAAACTCATCAAGGCCGACCTGTTGGAAGAAGGTCAAGTGCCGACCTGGCAGGTCAGGATACAGTGCTTAGGCGCATACGAGAGCACCCAAAGTGCCATACCTTGAGACAAGAAGGATCCCGAGTAGTCTGTTTGGACCGGCAGTCCTTCACTTGTCACCTACCCGAGGAGGTGGGACAGATAGCTACCCCTATTACCGCTATAAATACACCACTACTTCACAAGTCCAGGTATGAAAAATCTGTCTGAAATTGATCTGTCTAAGCTAAGATTCCAAACTGACTTAGGTGTCGGAGTGTCCTACCTGTTCTTGCAAGTACCATCGAAGAATCTTGCTCCGAACAGCTCTCACCAACCTCACAAGTCGTGTCTTAGGACTTGGTAGATTTTTGCATTAACAATTGGCGCCGTCTTTTGGATCGCTGTCATCGCCCGATCGCTCTGCACTCAAGCTATGGCGGAAGGTTCCCAAACCTCAAACAATCGAGAGCCTGAAGCTGAGGACGATCACCAGGTTCTAAGGACCCAAAGGCACGAATTGAAGTGTACAAGTTGCCAAATGCCAGAAAGTCGAAGACCAGGGTAGACTCGAAGAGGTCGAGGTCTCGAATCCAAATCGAAATGGCCATCGACTCCCAGGACGAGATGGACACCATGAGAGCTCAAGTGGCGGTATTGACAGAAGCCTTGCAAGTGGAGGGATTACCGCTCCTCGAGCTGCTAGAACTCAAGTTCCAACGCGACCCGAGGAGAGGTAAGGCAAAAGTAACCAGGCTGGACCAAGAAAAGTCAGTGGGTCCGAACCCATCAAAGCTAATCTTGGGAGGAAACGACCGAGTTCGGGCCAATGACGATCTCTGCTCACATCCCTCCTCGCCAAATGGCAAACATCTTAGAAAAGTCTTGAATCATAAGTATTCAGTCAAGAAGGCCGAACGATCGACTAGATCGGAGTCGATTAACAATGAGGAGTGGCAACTGCAGTTCGAGTAGTTGAAGAAGGAGCTGCGGGGAGAGATCGAAAATAACCTCAAGAAAGCTTAGGGTAAGCCCATGTCGGAGGACGACGAGCCGGAAGAACCACCTTTCACCCAAGCCATCTTGACCACCTCGATATATTCAAGAGGAAAATTCTCTAGGTTCGACAAATATGACGGGTCTGCCGACCCGATGGATCGCGTCGTAACTTACGAGTCTCTATGTACTTTCACGCGTATCCAGACTTGATGAAGTGTCGCGCGTTCTCCATTACACTGCAAGGCTTAGCTAGGAAATGGTATCGACAACTCTTGTCCCACTCAATTTCTTAATGGAAATAGATCCGCAAGACCTTCATCGCCTAGTTTGCAGTACAACAGGCGACTCAACACTCCACCAGATACCTCCTCACAATAAGGCAAGGCAAAGAGGAGAGCTTTCGGGATTATGTGAAGAGATTCCTTACTGAGCATATTACAGTTTCAATGAAGAGTTCGCCTGCTCGGCATTTGCTTCAAGAGTAAGACATGAACCACTCAAATGGTCTTTGGCGAATAAGCCCGAACAGACCATCAAGGCCAGCATCAAACGGGCAAGGAAATTTATGCAAGACAACGGGCTCATCTAGTCTCAAGAAGACCGACCTGTCGGAACAAGTTCGTCGAGAGAGAGGAACGGTCGAGACAATGTAAGAAAGATGTCATCCCATTACCAACAACGAGATCGCAACTCCGAACAATTCGAGTGTGACAGATCCGAACAATCCCATTACCACCAGAGGCAACACCCGAAGCATGACAGATCCGAACAATTAGTGCTTCACATCTTTGAATGTCCTGTTAGCAAAAATCCTAGCCATCATACAAGACTCGAAGCTCGACCTCCTCACGGAGCTGAATCCCATGCACCAAGACTCTAGAAGCGCAACAGGTCAAAGTTTTGTCACTTCAACAAAGACTAGGGGCATGATACTTTCGTTGATACGACCTAAAGAGGCAAATTGAAGGCCTCATCTAGAAGGGGTACTATAAGAAGCACATGGGACGAGCTCCCAATGGAGGAGGAAGTGGAGACGGTGGTTCCAAGAGGGAGAAGATGGAAAGGGAGAGATTTCGGTCTCCCACTAAGCGCATGGACCGACCTGCCATCATCAACATTATATTCAGAGAGCCAAGTAGAGGCCAAATGGGAAACAAGCACAAGGCTTTAGCCCGAGAAGCGCGCTATGAGGTGTGCGTGAGCTTAGCACAGCTCGTCCCTCACAAGATCACATTCTTAGAGAAGGACCTCGAAGGCCTGCATCATCCTTAAGACGACTGCCTGGTCATTGTGGCTCAAATCGACCACGTGACAATTAAACGGGTACTGGTCGATGGAGGAGCATCAACTAACATCTTGTTCTTTTCTACTTACATTGCTTTGGGATGGGAGCGG